TTGTAGAAGCCATACATTTTCACATTTCTCAGTGAAGCAAGAGGATGACTAGAAGATTGCTCTATTAGTAATTTTGCTTCCTCTTGCTGCAATTATTTCTGTCTCATAGGCCATAATTTTCCCATTTTCTCTGTCATTCTTAAAGCAATACTATAAAATCTCAATTTATCCAAAACATTACTGTTAAAATCACCTTCCTCACTTGCATGACAGTCTCTAATCCTCAACTCATATGTCGACCATACAATACTATTTAGTGGAACTTCTTAATAAACAGAATATGCTAGGTTTTCACAGGAAATAAGTTAACCATTACGTTGCCTGTACATGACCATTTCCATGTATTTCCAAAAATACAAAAATGCATATAAAATCTAGCCACTTACGAATGTCTTCTATTAATTTTAATTAGGCAAAAATTTAATGAAAACTGTTTACACTGGCTAGTTCTAACAAAGTGCTATATATAAAACCACAGATCAATGGAATGAAATTTAACTCATCTTGAAAGAAAACGTGAAGAATCAATGTATGAAGCAAAATGTAAATAAACCCCAAAAGCATTTACCCTAGATAGCACTGCATGTCTCTAATTCAATCCTAAACTAAGGAATTCCTATGACAATTAAAAAAAGCTTATTCTTACTTTGTGCTGTCAAATCTGCAGTCTGCTACGTTTTAAGAATATTGAAGTCCCTGAACCTCAGATGCACATTCTCAGAATAGCTCAAATTTCATACTTGGTGGGTCCAGTCTCATTCAGGTGCTAAGGAAAGTCTGCTCCTGGTGTGAGAATACACTCATTTTTGTACTGTGCATACAGCAACAGGTTAGATTGCACTATCTATGGAGTGCTGGGCATGATCACTGCTTCACTAGTTCTTAAGGCACAAGTTCTATCTGATTTTGGAAAATACGTATTCTATTTAAACCCTGAGCAAAGAGTTCATTTATTCTCACTTTTTGTGCTCTCTCCTCCACTTATCAAAAACTTTTAACAAACTCAATGTTCCTTTTCCTGAAGAAAACGTAACGGACAAGACTTTATACACTCCATATAACTAACCTGGTCTTAAAGTATATGATGCTACATGAGAAAATGACAGCAGGTCTTGGGAAAGAACAGAATATCGCTTTGTTAAAGAGAATAATGTTCACAAGTTTAATGAAATAAGCAATATTCATATGCTTCCACAGAATGAAGCGTAATTGATAACTGAATCAAGACACAAACGAACACACCAGATATACTTTCCATTGCCAAAGAAAGAGAAACATTTTAGAGTTAGCCTAACATAGCCCAATTCATTATATAGTTTACCTGATTTTTTTTCACTTCCTTCCATGCTTTTGTTTGTTTTTGTGTATGTGTGTGTGTGGTGGTGGTGTTTTTTCCCACTGACATATTTGTCATAACTAACTGACTCATCAGTTACAGTTATGCTGTTTCTCCAATACAAATTACTATCCGTGACTTCATGGATTTATTAAACATTCTGGCTCCTGAAGCATGAGGAAAATCTGCTCCTGCAGATTTCATGTGCCAGTTCATTTCACACTGTGGAATGTGGAGGGAGTGTGTGAAACCTCTTGGAGGCTTGCTTTTACAGCAGCTCTGATAATTTCCATTTCCAAACACTCAGTATCATTTGCCATTCTGTGTTGGCATCAACGTTCTTCAGTTAGGTTCCCTGTCCTGTGTCACCCTGCTGTAACTTCTGAATGCCCAGATCATATTTCAACTAAATACCATGTTCACTGCAAAGAGAACTCAGTCCCATTGTCCAATTTTTCTTTGCTCTGTTTTGTTTTGCAACATTTAATCTATCCTGACTTCCAAAATGTTAAGCTAACTCTTTCTGACTTCTAAAATTTAACTTTGCTAATTATATCACTTTTTCTTTCAATCTTTTTTTAGGCTCTAGTTTTTGCCCTAACATTCTTTTTGAGTTGGGCATTCACTATGTCTTCTCCAAGAACATGGGGCTGACATTACTCCAGATTCTCATCTCTAACTGAATATACAAGTTCCTAACAGATTTTGCAGGACTATTTCACATTTGAGTACTTTCTCTAAGTATCTTTGATCAGCTTTTCTGAAGAAACATTTATGCTATCTTTACCCAAATAATAAATGGTTTCTCTTCTTGGTTCTTCAGTGAATCAGATAATTTTGTGGGTATCCAACCCTGGTAATCTCAGAAAATATTAATAGCATTTCTTCTTGAATGCTAACTATGATTTTTATTTTCCTTTCAAAATGTGAGTTAGTACTAAAGTACTAAATAAGAGTATGAAACGCACAGTGTTCCTAGAGGAAAGAAAACAGATCCTTACGTTGCAAAAACGTAAGAATCAGTAATTTAAAAGTCCCACCAGAGCTGTCGTGTTTCTTAAGTTTGCATTACAACAATACACATAACTATTCTGAGTGTGTGTGCTATACAGTTAAACAGCTTTTCACTAGAGATGTGCAGAGGCTCAGAGTTCAGACCTTGCTTTCCAAAGCACAAGCATATTTCAGGTGAAGATTTTCTTCTTGATTTGTTGTTCCTTTTAATTGAACAGATATTTTATTTTGATAGCAATTTCTGCTGTCTCACAGTGTGTACAATGCGTGTTCAATGAGTGCCGGGAAGTCCTAGATTTGCTTGTGAGCTAGGTTCCAATCACATTTCACATTGTTTGAACTAGTAGAATGACAGTTTTAGAACTTAAATGCCAGACTTTGTTTTTGCCTCAAACCTGTCAAGTTTCTTATAAGATCTGCAGGTTGCCCACACAACTCCCACTGAATGGTCTGGTACAGTCTCTCAGTTCCTGCAATGCTTGCTCAGACAATCGTGTCATGTTTCATCTGGGTTCATCATGCAATACAGTTCAAATTGCTCTATCACAGCATCTTTTTTGCCTCCAAGGTAGATATAAAAATAGGGTTTCCAAAAATGGTTGAGGAAAAAATTCTGAGCTATATTATACTATTGTGAAAACTCCTATCAGAATACTTGCACCCCTCCTGGGAATCTTCAGTAACCTCATTTCTACAACAGGATCTAAATGGATGTAGGCCTGAATATTCCACTGAGACACTGCATGGCCATATATTTCTGATAAGGAGTCACAGTTTTGCAATATTCTTATGCATTCAACTCGTATTTTCCTTTCATCCGTTTTCTTTTCAGAGGTAAGCAAGGGGGAAGAGGCTGTCATTTTTTCTCAACATTTTTACATGTTGCTTTTGTGTTATAAGAAGCTTTTATTTAAAAAAAAAACAACGTATCCGAAGCACCTCTGAACAGTTTTTCAAGTTTTTCTACCCACAGCCTCTTCATCTCTCACTCCTCATGCCTCCTGTGTCTCAAAGACACTTTACTCCCTGTGTTCAGCTTTCCACTTTCAAAACAACAGTGAAAATTGGAGAAGTCACACACGTAAACTCTCTCCTTTAATCTGTCCCAACTCAGTCTGCTCCCGATTCTTTTTTCACATCTTACACAATCACTCAGCTGTACTTTAGGGAATCTCCTAATCCCCTCAGAGGAACTCTGTTCTTTATCCCTTTCTTTTCTCCCTCACATTTGTGTAAAAATATAGCTAGTACAATTTTTAGGATAATTAATCCCCAACTACTCTTGTTTAATTTCAATGAAAAGAGTGAAATGAAACACATGTATGTATTTGTTCCAGTTAGATGTTTTGTAATAAGTATGTTTGTTATACAGTCAGATACAAAATTGAGCTTTCATTAATAGAGGAACTTCACACTAAGTTTTATAAATGGAGTGAACTTTTTCCTCTGTAGGGTAGGAACTTGTTTCTTAACAAAGTCAGTGTAGGAAACGATTGAACAAAGAGATGTTTGTTATCCAGGACTGAAACAATCCTTCATTTATTTAAAGGAAAGGAAGGAATCAGAAGGCAATGAAATATCTTTCAACTTCTGGTTATCACCAGGAGGTTTCTTTGGTAATTATACTGTGGGTCCATATAAAGTATGATACCTTTTATCAAAAGACAAGCACGTCTCCATGTACAGAGTACCTTTCAGTATCTACCCTATTTTGGCTGAAAGAAATAGACTTGTTCCCTTTCAATGCCACTGCAGAGACCTCTATTGCTTAGTCATAATATGGATATAAGTTTGAATTTTAATTTTTGCATAAGTCATCACAGCTAAACTACGTCCAGATTTTCTAGAATCTCTCTATAAAATAGCTCCTAAGAGCTGAAAGAGCTAGAACTTTTTCTAGGCCCTCATCATATTGCATTTCAATTAGTGCAACATCTGTTCCTCCAGCCTTAATATGTGAAATGTGTTCCTTTGCACCCCTCCTGTATACTTCATTTTCAAAATCCAGCACTCTGTCTCCTCCTTCTGTGTTTATTGATTGGCTCTCTCTTCTCTACTAGTGTATCAACCATAAATTATTTAACTTGCCTTGGTTATTGATTGTACCTCCCTCATCTGTTACATCTTCAATTCTGAGAAGTCAACTTCCATCTCTGTTAAGTGTAGGATATTGCTCTCCATTTCATAAATTTTCAAGTCAGCGTGGCTAGGCTTTCTCTCTAGCCAAGCATAAATTTGGGCAGGGTCTTTTTGTGAAGTTCATTATTCTTTTACAAATGCATCCCTAAAATGCTATTATAATGCCTAAAAAAGTCTGAGCACCTTGTGTGCCAAGATACTATCATACATTAACACCATCACATTATTTCACTGAACTTTCTCTTCTGTCTATCCATTTGGTTCTCTTGCATAATATTTTGCTACTTAACTTTTTGGGTTGCTTCATATACCACATGTTTTTAGAGTTCCTAAATTTCCATGCTCAGAGCACTAAGTCTTTGTCATAAACTATGTCAATGTTATATTTTGTATTTTAAAACATCTCTAGCTAGATTATATTTAAAACACAACTACTGATTGAATTGTATTTCCTGTCCTTATTTTAATAAATCCATGATTCTGAATTTTTACACAGAAAGTAATTACTTACTGGTTCAACACAGGTGTATATGCTGTTTTATCTTCATCTATGATGGTGACCATCAGAGTAATAAGCTGTGCCCAGAAATCCAAATTCTTTGTTGTCGGTCCCTGTTCTTCTTTAGGAACTTCTTGTTTCTTACCCTATTAAAACAAGATTGAATATATTTTATATTAGAGAAATTAGATAAAATATTATGGGATTTCCATTTACAGATTATTACTTGGTTGGAAAGAGCAACATATTAAGAATCTTCAGAAATTTTGGACAAAGACTGTCTATCCACTTTAAAGTAGATTGTATGACAGACTGGGTCTGGCTGTGAATACATATCAAAAAACATACACAGTGCAAAGACAGCCAGGTCAGCAAAGGCAACCAATAGAGACTTGATTTTGAGAGCATTTTCACACTTTAAATACATTCTTAAATTCTTCATTGTGCTTAAACTGAGAGCAGGTAAAATTGTCTGCTAAGGCAGAACTTCTATACCCTATACAATAAATACCAAACAAAGCAATGATAAGGAACATTTCTTGTTTTGTTTTGGATTATACACTGAAGTTATTTGGCCTAAAAGCTGCTATGATGTTCACTCTGAATGAAGAAGTGGTTAAACTTCCCTTTATTTTTTAATAGCCAAAATAAAAAAGGCTATTGTCCAAAGTATTCTGCACAGAGATTTTCCAGGCACTCCTGGATTGACTGGCAGAACCACAAAGTAAGCATTTAAGAGAGGCAGAGAAAAAGACCACAAATTAGGAGGGGGGAAAAAAAATAAAACCCAGGACATACTAGGAAAAATCCCTGAAAATACTAGGAAAAGGTACATAGGAATCTCCAAAAGGGAGGCTTGTAAAGGTATTGTCTTGCCAAGGATTTTAAAGCTGTGAGCAAAACCAATCTGTTATTTGATTCCTTTTTTTATCCAAGGAAATGGGATTTTTGTATACTCCTTGTAAATTAAGATGACTGCAACTAGTTTTACATCCAAAGCAGAGAACCTGAGATTTTTGTAATAATCACAAGGAAGGACGTGACACACTGATATAGCGGATGGATTACCAACATGACTCTCCAGTCATTAATTAAAAGTTGGTATGTAAAGCAGTGGTTTTTATTGCTCTCAACTAAAAGCCTGCCTTTTGCGCCTTTTTATATAGTTATAAGTATGTATTAGTATTCACCACTTACAAACTTTTATTGAGCACTTTATACTTTTTAATCTCACTAAAATGTGCATTTACAGTTAGATTTTTGTCTCTACAGTTTTGATTTATGAATTCTTAGTCTACAGTTTCCTAGATAAAAGTATTTTTCAGTTCTTTGCTTGAAGGAAGAATCGGATTCTTTATCAATGTCCAATAAATGACTTCATTGCAAAGAATCAAATATGAAAAGAAATATTTTTATCTCTGTATGGACACACACATAACATATACACATAATTTCTGCCGCACAGCGGTATGTCTGCACATGCTTGGTCTCTTCTACACAGCTGTCAAATAGAAAGGAGTGTTTTCACTCAACTGGTAAGTCAGAGAAAATAAACATGCTTATTATCTTGCAAGTTTAAACATGCATTCCCTGTACTTCTCATTTGTAGTCAAAATACGACCACTTCAATGGACCTCATATCTCGTTGAACAGATATGACACTATATTAGTGTCATAGTGAATTAATTAAATGTTATCTTAACCTCAATTAACTTTTATCTATTAACAGCATTTAGAATGGCAGAAAGGGAATTTCAGTAACACTTAATTGAAATTGTTTTTGTGGTCACTGTGGAATATTTTAGAAAAGTATCATTAATCACACTGTTACACACTCAGTTTGTCTATAAGTGCTGAATTAAAGGTGAGGCTCAGAAGCAATTAGAACGGATGGTGTGACCAGTATCACCAGCAATTTGTAACCACACATGCAAACAAGAGTGCTTTTCAAAACAGAAATGAATATTGGAGGATTAATATCACTCAAGGGCTTTTCCTTGTGTACATTATACTTTCATTAAAAGACCTTGTTTCTATATCAAAGATTTATTTATAATTTATCTTTTTTTTTTTCCTCAAAAGCTAGTGCATGCTTAAGCCAAACCAACGGAAAGGCAGTAGTAGAAGACAGAGCCAGTTCACATTTAGTCCAGCATCTTATCCAAGAGCTATATTTCACAGAAAAAACCTGCAATGGCACATAGCTGAGAGCTTTTAATGATTGTGAATGTGAATCACAGAACTCAAAATTCTTTTCTTTAATATAGATAGCAAAAAGTAATTAAGTTACAAAGAAAAGGTTGCACAAGGAGGTGCTTTCTACAAAAATCCTCTGGTACAGAAATCTTTTAAAAATCAAGATGATCTTTTCAAAGTCCCCAGAGAAGATATTTTAAAAATAGTTTCACATTAATAGATTTCATTTTATGCTCTGAAAGGAAAGAGCATACTCTGCCCATGCTCAGTTGTAATGTCCATTCTTTATCCTAAAATCTAACTAACAGGTGAGAAATCCTCAGAATCATTCAAGCTGTTTTTACATTAATTATTATTATTGCTGCTATTATGTGTTTTACGTGGTTTCTGGCAACAGATGCCTTCACAAAAGCATTCAATAAGGTAAAACAATGTTAGTAGTTTGATTACTTTGATTAGTTGCAAACTTGCAAAACTGACAGAAGAAAATTCCATTGTGGAATAAAAGTTAACTTTTGAAACAGCTATTTTCATATCAAAAAAAGGTCAGTGATACAGTTTGTTTGGCTTGTTTCTGTTAGTGTAACTGAGAGGCATGGTAAACTGCTTAACAGTGTAGAAAAAGTGAGTGGGAGGACAGCATCATGCTATTACACTTCGGCATTTTCTTAATGAAATAAAACACCCTTTTACAGGCACTGAAGTTTAATTTCTATACTGCTTTGCTAAAGTCTGCTCTGGTGACATGGGTGCACCATCAGTCAGTTCTGAACAGTCAGTAAGAATGCCCTCTTATTAAATGAAAAAAACAAGTTACGTTTTTCCTCCTCAGTGGTCTCAAAAGAAGTTTATCTGCTCTAATTTTATAACTGTGATGATAATAGCTCATGTCTCAGTCTTGTGATTTGGCCTCATATCCAACCAGTTCTCAGTAGCATGCATCCTTTCACTTTAGGAATTAATCATATGCACTTACATAGTGCAGTGTATTTACAGTCTGTGCAGAAATTGTGAAAAAGCCTTTTAAACTGCCCAGATTTGATTAGTTTGTACATAAGCAAAGTGTATAAAGTATAAACATGGTTAACTATATGGTCTATTAAGTGGAAAAGGTTATCTTGATAATAGTAACTTTCTTTTTTTCACTCAAGTTATATCCATTAGAAAGAAACTGCAGGTATAAAAACATGAACTAAATACCTGATATACCCAATTAGTGCCACATTGGCACAAATACAGTGATGAGATATATGAGTCTCTAAATACTGCCTATCATTATAGAGGATAATACCAATAATGAGATTAAAAAAAGTACATCTGCAAAGGTCAAAAGGAACATAAATTCTCAATATACAAGACAACAAAATCACTAATTAACATGTTAACTAGTTAACATACTGTTCATGATTCATGACTTTTTATTAAAAAGAACTATTTTCTGCAGTTACCTGTCTTTCATTTTTGGTGGGTACATAATCCACCGAACAAGCTAAAATCAGAGATTGCTCTGGTAGTAACCAAGAGAGCTTTCAGTAAGTATTGATGAGAATGGAAGTTTGCCAATTAGCATAATCATTTTCTTTTTCACTAGCCTTCTCACTTAGGAAAGACTGCTTGAAATACCTTGACCCACTGTACTGTCACTTGAGATGGTAATGCTGCCTACATGCACAGAACCATGAAGTGCCATAAGAAGATACTGTAGTAGATCCTACACTTAAAACCTCAATAACTGACCAAAGGCAGATGATGACTCATCATCAAGACATTACAATATAGGTTTTTATATGCTCATGTTAATTGACTTGGCTACTTCTTGTCTTTAGGATGACTCTAAAGTTGTAGCATACCATACATCCTTTACTGTACAAAAATGTTAAGCAACAACATGGAAGCGGCAAACTTAAATAATGAAATATTTCAGAATAACGGACTACATGAAACAAGCATGAAAAGTAAACGTGATTGCTTGAGTACTAATAAATGTGGCCTGTTTGCCTGATTCTGCTTTCAAAAATGATACATTCTCTCCAAGATGGCACAATGCCAGAATGGAAAATTTTTATCATTAAACTGAAGTTCACTATTATTCATTTTCTATCACTTAGGAACGTTCACAAAGCAATCTGTTGCAAATATGGACATGTAATTGGATTTAGATTAGGAATGCATTGCTAAGGATCCTAGATTGCAAGTGTTGTTTCAATTAAAATATCTTTGGTTATATAAAATGTCTTTGGTTTTGGTCTCAGCCAATGCCCGACTTATACAGAAGCTATGTCCAGTGAATTTACTCAATGGATCATAAATCTGATTGTCAGGCATTAGGTTTTATGATGCATTCTTAATTTGTGTGTCTTTTTATTAATGCTTTGTCACAGGGAATGCTGTCTTTACTGCTAAGAGACAATCGTAAGTAAATTCCTACAACAGTATATTAACACTAGTTAAAGACATGTGAAAAGTTGTTTGGAATCCATGACATAGGGTAAAATCCAAACAGCTGCCAATGCTAAAAATGACACTGGCTTCAGCAGTGATCCCACATCTGTTGGAAAAGAAAAGCCTGAGGAACATCATAGGACTAATGTGAAATACTATTAGTTCCTCACTTTGGATAAGTGTACTAAGCTGTTTTGGATAAAATTTCAGTCAGTTTCATAGAAAAGAAGTTCCAATTATTTTGTAGAGCTACAGTAAGTTAGATGTGCTTGCCTGGGAAAAGCTGTCTTAATTCAGTTTTGATCATCCTAGGAATCCAATTGAGAGATAACCTAATGGATGTTTCTTCATGTAGTCCGTAATGTATTTTGTTACAGGATATTTCATTTTACTGAGAGCATCGTAATTCATTTGGAGAACTAGATAATTGCAAACATCTTATAAGTAAAGTATCTTTAAAGAGAAGTCATATTATTCACTTAAGGTTTACAAACACAGGAAATACTGTGGATTCTATGGCTTTTTTAAATGCAAGATCCAGACTAGGTGATTCCTAACTCTTTGTCTTTTGCCACAGAATACATCAAAATCAGAAAGAGGAAGTGAGTAAGAGGAATTTTTCATATGATATGTATCAAAATTAATTCTTTACTTGAGTTAAATCATGTTTTTTCTCAATTTCCT